GTTATGGGTGTTTGATACATTTTTTTACGCTGAATGTAGTTCAGTGGCCATACATTTTTATCTGTATTTTATGAGCAACTGCATGAAATAAAGCCATATGGTAAAAGTCAAGAAAATCTCACGATAAGTTTCAATGTTAGCCAGTCACATCAATAAGCTCTACTGTTATCATAACAACAGGAACCGTGGAAGGCCCAAAACAGTCCATGGCAGCAGGAAAGGGGGCGTGGCTACAACTCAGGTTGTTTTTCCAGTTTTAATTCTAATTGTTATCTACAAAAGTCCATCATCATAATAATAATACCATTTCAATTGTCCTACTATTCCACTCACAGTAAACATTAAAGTTGGTAAATCCTTAGACAACCATTCATTCCTTCTCAACCAAAATTAATTTTTTGGTGAGTTTTCATTTTGCTATTTTCACTGCAAAGTGAAACCCAGTAAAATAAACATAAAATTACAATACATGTTCATTGGAAATATGTGAATTTAAAATCCAGTTAATATAATGAAAACAAAAATTTAATAAAATCCATCCGTAAACAGCCGAGAAATGCTTAATTTTGATGATTTTTCAGTACAAAAATGGCTTCCCTTCGGAAATCTTGAATCAGATCGTGAAACAAATTGATGTGCATATGTATAATATCATGTATGATGTATGTGTGAAGTTTGATTGTGATTGGTCCAGGCATTTCTAAGATACAGGTCCGGACGGACGCACGCACAGGGACTAATAATGCTTCTACGATACATCAATTTATGGCTGGCTTTGAATAACCTATGCTACCCATAAGAGCCCGTAACCAAGGCAACAAATGTCCATAGATTTCTTATCTTAGCTGGCCCCATGCCAGAGGCAGATAATCTCACCAGGGGGTGAGGTAAATCTATCACATATCCACTGCTTTCAATAATAAATACCTAGTGTAACACCATCCTTGTATCTTTTACAAGCCTGGGGGTGCCAAACATTGAACTTGCCATATCAGTACGCGATTATACAACAGGTATTCTGTAAAATCTAACGGTACCTTATTTGTTCTTGTCAAACACCATATATAGAAGCAAATTTTAATCAAAACTCCATCAGTGATCAGCATGGTATAACATCCTATCTAGATTTCAACCAGATATTTAAAATACCGACTTTACCTCCTAGTTTGACTTTGGTCAACAGTGCTGGAATCAGCAACAAATTCTAAACAGATGAAGACGATTACATACTTGAATTCAATGACAAATTGTATCAATGGCCTTGAACTGCTTTTTTCAAACATGTTTACCTCATCCTGCAATAAATCTTTAAATGACGGTGAACTGAATGATAGAGTGAATATATCAGTATACACCCCACCCCCATTTTTGAGGTACATGAGAGTCACTAAATTGTATTTACAAATAGTTTCACGAACCAATAGATACCCTTTGAAATAAGGGATTTCTCTACATACAGACATGACCAAACATATATAATAATTATTGCATCGTTAGAATTACAGTATTTCTATCAGTACAGTAGCAATAAAATTATATTGAACAACAACCAAATATATATTAATAAGAATTGAAAAAGAGCAGAAGCAGTTCACCTCAAAATTTTGATTACCGCAACAAATGTTTACCAGCATACCAGAATAATAACATCCGTGATTTAACTTTGTCAACTGGTAAGGAAAAAACATGCATTATCAGGTTCAATTCCAGGCATGATACAGGAAACGTGTACACAAGTAAAATTCAATTAAATCCACACAATACAGTATGATACATCATACATTTGACAGATACATGTAAAATACAGGTAAAGTGCTCTCATACAAGTACTATGCATGCAAATGAGATGCCAAAGAAAACGATGAATCTACCTAACAACGTGGATGCTTTTAACGATTAAAATCTCAACATCTTGCTATGTCAGATAAGATGAATTATGTTAGCTTAAAATAAATACATTATATAAATAATTAGATAATTTGTTATTATAGACATGCAGTTGCCATATAAAGGTTAGAGTTGTTTCAAGTTATTTTGGCAGTGGTTACGTGTCATGAACTCAAATCAGGACAAATAAATTTTTATTCTGAGAAAATTGTCGAGGAAAAACAGTTCTATGTTACATTTGGAATTTTCAAATTGTTTTGTTGAGTAAGAGGTTTCAACAATGAATAACAAAGAGCAAATAAAAAGATGGCGGTGCTTGAGCTTGTTTCTATGGAAACAATACTTCCCAATGATGGGCAAAATGCATACAACTAAGGTTATAATTCAAAACCTAGTTCAGTTTTCTTTAAAATCTCAAAAAATAATTGAAATTTCAGAAACTTTTTGCCTTAAAAGTGCGCTTCACTTGACCATTCTTCAATTAAACCTACAATCTTTCAATACATTTTAGTTTATCCTTTATCGTCAGTGTTTTCAAACACGAGCAAAATCCTAACAAAGTTCTGACACTAAATCATAATGACCATTATCGTAGATTACAATAGAAAATGTAAAGATGAAAATATCAAAATGATGATATTAATCATTTCCTTTATACGGTAATATAATTGCTTCTCTCCTTAGGCTATACATTAATCTATCAATTTTTCTTCAGTTTAGATTCTCATTACTGACAGCATAGTTATCTCAGAGCCAGAGTGACAGGAAAATCAGAAAAGTGGCATAATTTTTCCCGCCAAAATGTTGATGCAACAATTTTTATACAATATTTCTATAATTTCTTTGTTAATTTTGGTCTAAATGGATATAAAGCACCACATCACAATAACAGTGCAATGTGTACACACATACGTTGCATGGGACTCATATCTAATGTCATGGTTAACTTTTCTGACCTTATACAAAACTAAACTACACAATTGTTTCAAACCGATCAGAACATGTGGATAAATAATATAAACCAAATAATCTACAGAATACATAAAAATGTGCAAAATTTAGGATGAAAACAAAATGACATTCAATGGGTGAAAGTTATGTTCTTCATGTTCATGCCCATGTTCTTCAATTCAAAATATTGTGATAAAATATGAATTTACTTGTGGATTAACTACCAGTTCTATTTATATTTCATGAGTTTGAAGAAAGTCACAATAACAAAATTATCACTAAAAGATAACAGTATGCACTCTGAACTCATGGCAAGCTTGATTGTCTCCAATAATGGAACAAACAAAATAATTCAAACTATATTGTTTTAGTTTAATTTTTCTCATTTAAAAAAAGGAAAAACCAAAAAATGCATTTAGTATTCATCATAGAATTAACCCATGCATGCAAGGACAAAAGAAATTAAACGAAATAAAAAAAAAACATTACATAAGGTAACACTTGGTGACATAATATTTTAATCCAAATTTATGATACCACTTATTTAGATAGTGCCAGTACAAAGGCTATAATCTGATTAATTATTCACAAACCAAACAGCTGATATTACAGTACTATCTGAATAAAACTTACACTGATGAAAGTTATACAAGTCAGTAGCAAAAACACAGATATAACTTTACATGTGGAATGTCAGATATGAATTTATAGAAACAATCTGCACACCCCGCGGGGATGAATTTTTCAGTAACTTTTTTATGTCACAATTATTTCCGTCAAAATTTAGGTACAAACTTTTACACCTTTTTGATTATTTTTTATAATTTTTATAATTGAACCAAATGGACACAAATTTCTATTAACATTGTGTTTTGATCAAAACTTTTGAAAAACTATGAAAAAAACTATGCAGTTTTAGTAATATAAAGGTTGATATTGGCATTCACAGAGTTAATGCACTACCTGTTTATTGGGGTCATGAGTCAGTGAGATGTGTATATTTCAATCTCATTTAAATTTGAATAATAGACATTAATGAGAGGAAGCATGACTGCAGAGAGTGACTGGGTGGGAACATAAGTCACAACTTTAAATCAAAAAAATCCTTGATCAAGGTGTGGTGAGACCACCACCATCGAACACACCCATCTTGAATCCAATCTGAATGAAACCTGTTACCAGCAAAACATGACACTGCACTGAAAGTGTCTGGGCGAAAGAATTTCAGTTTTCAAACACACCTTTACGAAAAATGAATAAAGGTCAGTTGTCAACAATGAGCTGATGTTGCAGCTGCCCAACCCATTGCGGCATGGCTGAGGTATTGAACTTTGAACACTATATGCGATTCATTTTAAATATCAATGCATTTTCACAGTGAAGTATCAAAACATGAAAAACAATAAAACTCTACCAGATACAGATTCTCACATTGTTTACTACAACCCAGTATTCTTTTTTTAACAAAAAGAAACTCTTTTTCCTTTTTCTCATTAGTTCAAAGCATTCACTTGTATCCTAACAATGGCCTTCACATTCCAGGAGTCACCAAGGCGAAACGATTTGTGTCCCAATTCCACAAAGCTCAACAGGTGAAGCCAGAGAACCCACCAACAAATATTTACAGTAATATTACAGATACCTCAATACTGTCTATGATAACACATTTCCAATACTGAACCAAAATTGCACACTGCCAGATATATTATATGCACAGTACATAGGAAATTATATTTAACAAAGTAATTATTATTTGATTAAATTATGCCACAGTTTACATCCATTATGACATTTACAGTTAAGTAAATAAACAAACCATGATAAATACACATGTTATCAAGTGTAAATGTCACGTGATTACGTTAATATCATCAGACAGAGTGAGACATTAAGAAGTCGTTTTATCAGGACATCATATGGAATATGCATGCACCCTCAACTTTAACGTATGCTTTTAATGATTAAATTAATAGTTTAGACCAATTAGGCTCAAAGTGTCGGGGGCTGAAGAGGCGATTCAGTCCATCTAACACGGGTCACTGAAAAATGCCTAGCTCAAATATGGACTACCGTGTTACGAGGTGTAAACTTCCAAGTCAAAAGTTATAGCTGCCAGAGTTGTTTTGGTCGCCATCTTTGCACAATTTATGGCGTAAACTTACCGAGGAGGACAGCTCAAATAGGTGACCTTAATCAAGATTTGGTACTTTCCGTTGGTTCCAACAACAGGCTCCTTCGGGGGGAAGTCGCTGGTGCTTCAGAAATCTGTGAAAACGTCCATTATACAGAAGTTAGCAGAAAAACAGAAATATTGTTGATATGACAGACTTGTGACGTTCATACTACTGGTACTCGGTACCTACCGTGCATTAGTATATCAAACAGACAAACGTAATCGACGTGGTTTACGTGAATGTGACATAGCGAGGGGTTCTGGAGTACCTTTCCACTAATACAGACACCATGGATATTACAATGTACCCTTAGGGTTAGGATTCCACGGTAAGCGATCGGTCGTCTATGCATTCTGCGTGTGAATGGTTTCCAAGCGTTTCACACGCCGAACCCATCCCCACAGCTGCAGCGATCGTCAAACATAAACGTTTACCCCAACAAGAATTAAACCACCCTACCTTCTTGTCTCCTATCACCCCTGCTACGGATAAAGAGTTCTGAGATATCTCCTATGGCAGGTGTTAACTGCAAAATCCTACCGAAAACAGTTTTTTTGACGGTGTCTTGGTACCATCAATGGCCGCAACGTATCGCATGTATTTAGAATAAGGGCGTATGTAGTTGACGTCGTAATGGCACACTCATATGACACCACCCTGTGGGAAAATTCGTATATCCATATGTTTCATTCCAAACGCATACACAACTTTAGACAAACTATCAAATATGTGCCCTGCAACAAATTTTACGGTACATTTATGACAAATTCTCGGATAAATGTCATATCTCATAAGACATGTTGTCGATTCGAAACTATGCGCAGGTAACAACAAAACCTGGAACAGCCAGATAGCTAACTGGTCACGTGCCAACTAATGTTTATCATTGCTTTTCCACTGTTCGCGTTCTTGACTGAATGTAACATATTTATTAAAAAATAAAAAGAAATCTGGAAGGGGCGAAATCTTCATAACATTAAAGGAAAAACATAAACAACAAATCAACTTCAAGAAGTTTCCTACAAACACAGCATGTAACTTTTACTGGACCATGACACGGTGAATCATAGCAAAAATAAACCATGGATAAATATCGAGTAAAATATTTATATTTTTGTGTATTCACTGCTATTTACCTTTATTAATATCAACACATATTAATAATGATGTAATAAAGTATCAATAACAGTAATACAATCCTTCATTGAAAATTAGTGAACAAACACGTATTGTTAATGTCCACCAAGGTTCTGATAGTTCGATACTGAATTCCGCCCTCTCGTGGCGTGATGATAATTGTGGTCGAAGCGATATCGTAACTGACAAAGCATATTGTACGGGACTATCGTAAATAATATGTTGATTATTTTGAGGCGTTAAAAGTCAAATGTTTTCAGCCATAAATCGTTTGAATTACTAAAGACATATTCAAAGACAGTGTCACATATTGTTGATATATAATAGGAAATGCATTACACGAACACACATGCACCATGCCGCATAGTATGCGGGTCAACTGAAAAAAATATCTGGCTACAAGTGTTACACCGAAAAAATCTATGTTAATTTTATTTTATATTAAGGTTATGTGTATTTAACATTTTCAATCAGACATAATGGGTTAATTTCTTCAATATCCATAAACTGAAGTTATATACCACGTTTTGGCTCGCCTCTATTGTTATAACAGTCCGCCAACCTTCGATAACGTTTAGTTTAGTATTTCCTAGGGAAGTACTCGACTTTATTCTAAACAGTCACCGTAGTAGTTTCTTGGTTCTCGGCAATGCCCGTTTACTTATTTCTTTGTTCTCTGCAATACCACACCACTCGTTTACTAGGAACGGAACGTTCTTATTTCCAAAACTTCGCCCTCACTATTCAAAAATGGGACATTTTTTGTACAGCAACAGTCTGGATTTTTACCAGATCGAGGAACTATGTGGATACATGATAACTCTACTGAATGAGCTAAGTATCAGATGTGATTTCTACAGGTCTAGCCCTGGGTCTAGTGTCCATCAGTACAAAAGAAGTTACGTAATACACCTACGCTGTGACAACGCACAACCCACGACAACTCATAGTATTACTTCGTTAAAGTGCCTGTGCAATGCCCACCCTCACGTTTCCCATTTTAGATCTGTGTCCCACTGAAATGGGCAGTTATTGATTTTTTTGCTGAAAATAATTACTCGTATCCAAGTAAATTTGGGATATTTCTCGTGTTGTAGCCACGCCCACCTATCGTGAAACGGTCGACTGTTTCCGGATTTCCGACTCTCGCCAAAAGTGCGCCACCAAATGACAAAATGTGAGAGGAAGTCATACCCCTGAGTCGTAATAACACTGGTCGTTCAGTATACTGTTAAACGATATACATTTTTTGGTCGGCGTTTTTTCTTCTTTTTTTTTGTCTATTTTTTTTTTTTTTTTTTTTGAGAGAGAGTTTTTAGATGTTGTGTTGTGGGCAGTTGCAGTGAAACGTAATAGTCATAGTGTATGTATTTACACGTTTCTAATCGATCCGATGGTGCGACATCACTTAACCTTAGATTCTTTGGGGAGGGGGGAACTGTCCTCGTCCATGAAAAAAAACGAATAGGTTTAAAGAGAAACGCCGACAACGTAAACCAGGC